TTATATTTACTTCACTGTATTATTTGTGTGTGGACAGTGATTACTGAAAGGCCAGGCTTGTGTGGAAGTGTTTAACCACCACTGAGTGGTGCTGCTCTGGCGTGACGATTAGCACACTGGACTTAATATCCACAGAGCAACAGTTAAAACAATGGTGCTATTCACGTGCTATGAAAAAGGGCCGTCTCTCGAAACGTCGCCCATTATACGTTTGCTTTTAACGCCACGGTGTTATTGACGAACGTGTTGAGTCTGTCGTTGTTGGAATTAGTGCTTTCGTCCCATTCCCAGTGCAGAGGTATCACTGAATAATTTGTATTAGTTCAAACAAATGTGCTCGTTACTTAAACTCCCATCCCCGCCTGTGTCCACCCAGCAGTTCAAATGGATTCACCGCGGTCCATCGGCAGGTCACGTGTGGTTGGGAGAACAAGTGTGGGTACTCTCCACCTCTTCAAAGACGTCTGGTCAACGTCGATAAATGACCCGCCAGAGGGTCTCTCTGAAACTCCCTGCAGGCGGGGTGGCTCCCCCACCCCACGCCAGCAAGTGGCGTGAGCAAGTAATTTCAGGGCTGCACCCGAAGCCTTGTGCAACCTTCACCTGGTAGTCTGCGATGAGCTCAAAGGTGGTTTGGGTGCGGACACCGGCGGCTCCTCTCAAGTGTCACTGTGGCACCTTCTGCATCGCAATCATCGCTGGCGTCGTCGGCAAAGCCCTCACCTTCGCAGCGGAGTGTGCGTTTGGCTATGAAACTTCGGACTTTACACCTCAGATTGTGGTCCCAGCCAGAGCCAGACGCTGGGGCCATTGGGTTTATTCGTGAGGGACGAATGTGGGGGCTGATACTTTGAGAGGCAGACAAGGGCGGGCTTTTATTTCTTATTCATAATCAGTGGGGTTTTTTTTGTATCGAAAAGTGTAAGTTTATGCAAAGTGCATCTCAGCACGTTGCACAATCCGCAAACACAACGGTGCCATTGAGCCCTTCTTCGTAGCACATTTCAGGATTCATGAACCACAAGTGAGAGATTCCATCCGAAGTCAGTTACAATCCGGACACTATTGCACAATGGACAAAACCAGCGTTGGGAGCTGCATGGAAACAATTCAGTTTTGAAAGCGGAAAGTTACTCGGCTAACAACAAAAAAATCGTGCAATTTTGGATCGAACCGGTTATTTTTTCCGACTTCGTAGAAACCCAGCGATTGCAAAAATGTTTTAAAAAAAGTTAAACACAAAAATGTGATCACACATTGTACAGCACAGAGCCACAGACGTTAACACGTTTAGCATGAGGAAACTGTTAGGGTTGCCACATTTTCCACTGTAGACCAAAGCTGGACATAGTTCTAAGTCAGCCTCGGTCTACAATCATATCTATGCAGTGCGCTGTCGTGATAGTGTTCAATACAATGGCAGATTTAGGTACAAATCAACTGTTGCCACCTGAACACAGCGACCAATTGCCCGACCGTCCGGATTAAAATCCCAACACCTGGCGACCCGAGAAACAAGTAGACAAGTCGTGGGTTCGATCCCGACCCTGACGCCTGTATATTTAGTATACAGGAGGTCGTGGATTGGATCCTGACGCCTGTATATTTGGTATACAGGAGGTCGTGCGTTCAATCCTGACCCTGACGCCTGTATATTTAGTATACAGGAGGTCGTGGATTGGATCCTGACGCCTGTATATTTGGTATACAGGAGGTTGTGTTCGATCCTGACTCTGACGCCTGTATATTTGGTATACAGGAGGTTATGTGTTCGATCCTGACGCCTGTATATTTGGTATACAGGAGGTCGTGGGTTCGATCCCAACCCTGACACCTGTATATTTGGTATACAGGTCGTGTGTTCGATCCTTACTCTGACGCCTGTATATTTGGTATACAGGAGGTCGTGTGTTCGATCCTGACTCTGACGCTTGTATATTTGGTATACAGGAGGTCGTGGGTTCGATCCTGACCCTGATGCCTGTATATTTGGTATACAGGAGGTCGTGGGTTCGATCCCGACCCTGACGCCTGCATATTTGGTATACAGGAGGTCGTGGGTTCGATCCCGACCCTGACGCCTGTATATTTGGTATACAGGAGGTCGTGGGTTCGATCCTGACCCGGACGCCTGTATATTTGGTATACAGGAGGTCGTGGGTTCGATCCTGTCCCTGACGCCTGTATATTTGGTATACAAGAGGTCGTGGGTTCGATCCTGACCCTGATGCCTGTATATTTGGTATACAGGAGTGCGTGGGTTCGATCCTGACCCTAACGCCTGTGTATTTGGTATACAGGAGGTCGTGGGTTCGATCCTGACCCTGACGTCTGTATATTTGGTATGCAGGAAGTCGTTTGTTCGATCCTGATCCTGATGCATGTATATTTGGTATACAGGAGGTCGTGGGTTCGATCCCGACCCTGACGCCTGCATATTTGGTATACAGGAGGTCGTGGGTTCGATCCCGACCCTGATGCCTGTATATTTGGTATATAAGAGGTCGTGGGTTCGATCCTGACCCGGACGCCTGTATATTTGGTATACAGGAGGTCGTGGGTTCGATCCTGTCCCTGACGCCTGTATATTTGGTATACAGGAGGTCGTGGGTTCGATCCTGTCCCTGACGCCTGTATATTTGGTATACAGGTCGTGCGTTCGATCCTGACCCTGTGACGCCTGCTGTATATTTGGAGTTTGCATGTTCTCCCCCATATTTAGAAACATGCGCTTAAGATGAGAATAGGTTTTCTCCCCTTTTTTCTGGCAACAAAAAAAGACCTTTCACACAATACTTGTGGTCTGAATGCCAACAAAAAAACATACCCTGCATGATATATGCATTGTCTTTGAAACTGATTGGTCCAAACCAGAGACAGCTTTCTTTTGAGCCTCGTCTCAAACGGTGTTAGACCAGAAAAAAGGGGGGAAAAAACTCTATTCTCATATTTTGGTACTAACAAAGGAGGTCCCATAATGCGCTTAAGAGTATTTAGTTCACTCCAGCGGGTGGAACAGATGAGCCGCACCGGCTCCTGCACTCGCTTTAGGCCGAGTCGGCCTCGGAGAACGCACGCGACCGATTACATCACGCGAGACGACAGCGCCGCCAAGTGGAAGCAGATTTCATCAAACCAGTCTTGTACTCGGGTGAGCCATGAACAAAATGAGCACGTGTCTTTTCCCAAGTCTCCATGTCCCTCCACGCATACAAAAAAAATGTCGAGCATTTTCTATACATCCCATCAGGCACGCTGTCTTCTGGGTGTGCATTTCAGTAGCGTTGGTTCAACGCCAGCAAACCTCTGGGACCGATTTCAAATATTGTAATGTGACGCGCAAAGCATACTTTTTTTAAATATGGCTGGACAAATATGGGAAGGCGAATTGTCTGCTTGCTAAGTTACTTTATATCCTCCATAAAGACGGTCACGATTTTGCGCTGGGCAGAAATTCGTTCGTGGTTGATTAAATGTTGTATCTGCATCAAACGATGGCTGTCACGGACAGAAACGCTTAAGGTAAAAGGAGATGGAGAAACTGAACTCATTCGGCAATTAAGAGTACCGTAACGAGGTGAGGAGGGTGCAACTGAGATCAGATGAGGAATAAAGGGAGCATGAGCAATGGGCTGCCCGTGTGGGGAGAGAATTCAAGAAGACTTCAAGTCACAAAAGTCTCCTGTTCCAATGTCTCCCGTCTTCAATCCTCTTACTCTGCCTCGTACCTAGATCACTCATGTCTTGTTACTCTCCTCTTATCCCCTTTCCGCTGTCCTCACACTCCCGTAATCTGATTCCTTTCCCCCTCTCCTCTCGCAATCCGCTAATCCCCATGCCCCCTGTCGATCTCAATGTCTCCGGTCGCTTCCGCCACCAATCCTCTTTGCTCTCTCTTCTCTAACGCCCTCTGTCCATCCCCGGCCTCCTCCTGCCTCGTACCCCGAGCCACCCTGGTCTGCGTTACCACCCACCTCGTGCCCACCCCGCCCACACCGTCCCCCTCCCCCACTATCCACCCTCCACTATCCACCCCCCACAGCGTCCACCCCCACACCGTCCACCCCCCCCACAGCATCCACCCCACTATCCACCCCTCCCTCACCACACGTCCACCCCCTCCCCACACACGTCCACCCCCCTCCCCACACACGTCCACCCCCCCCCCCCACACCGTCCACCGCACTATCCACCCCTCCCTCACCACACGTCCACCCCCCTCCCCACACACGTCCACCCCCCACACACGTCCACCCCCACGACTCCCGTAATACTTCCTGGCTGTAGCCGCTCTGCACGAGCCACGTGGACCCCCGGCCCCCCCCACTCGTCTCCCGCCGATGACGTCATGACGCAGGGTGGCGGCCATCTTAGTAAGGGGACTCCCAGTCCACTACCAGCACTGAAAAACACTACCGATAACAATACTCATACTGTACTTATAACAATGATCATACTGTACTTATAACAATACTCATACTGTACTTATAACCATACTCATACTGTACTTATAACAATACTAATACTGCACTTAGAACAATACTCATACTGTGCTTATAACAATACTGACTGTACTTATAACAATACTCATACTATACTTATAACTGGCCTTTACCCCCCCTAAGTTCTGACTGTTTACCCTGGTTCTGTTTATTTCCTGTTTTTGTTTCATACACGGGGGCTCATATTGTGATCTCCGGATGAAAGCTGCGCCTTCCCTACATGTTAAAATAATTGTAATTTCTCTGTCATCCCACGGTGAGTTAATCCGCGTTATCCGCCCCTACCCAACGTGGCCGAGGCGACTTCACACACGGACACAGACAGACACACACCAGACACACGCCAGACACACGTCACCCCCCTGCCTGCCACCCGTCAGAACACAAACTCACGGGCACGCCGGTCTCCTCCGGGGGTAGGGGGGTTCACTCGCCACCAGACCATCAACCGTGGTGATCCCCAACCCCATAGCACCTACCAACCACCACCACCAACTACCACCCATCACCTACCAACCAACTACCACCACCTACCAACCACCACCAACTACCAACCAACCACCACCACCAACTACCAACCAACCACCACCACCTACCAACCACCACCAACTACCAACCACCTACCAACCACCACCACCAACTACCAATCAACCACCACCACCTACCAACCACCACCACCTACCAACCACCTACCAACTACCAACCAACTACCACCCACCACCTACCAACCACCACCACCCACCAACTACCAATCACCACCCACCCACCAACTACCAACCACCACCCACCCACCAACCACCACAACCAACCACCACCAAATGGCTTCTTCTCGCCCGTCCTCCTCGCGTGCCCCTCGTCGCGGCGTCTGGGAGCTGCCGACTCGCCTGGGGCTTTGCGCCCTCGGGGTGACGCTCTCGCTGCTCGCGCTCCACGTGGAGGTGGCCAAGGAGCGCGACTCGACGTACTCGGCGTGGTGCGACTTCAGCGCGAGCGTCAGCTGCTCCAAGGTCTTCTCCTCCAGGTGACTCTGGAGTGCAAAAAAAACAACACACAAACATTTGTATCGTCGTTTTGTTATCGTTTGATTATTATTGGGTTTTTTTTTAGTCATCCGTCGTCGTTATTATTGGGCGCACGCGGTGGCTAGGAGATGTTGATTACCTCGCCCGGTATGCAGGAGGTCGTGCGTTCGAGCCAGAGCCTGAAAATGCCTCCTGCTATATATTTGGTCACAAAAGCAAAGTTTGTGGGGAATGAGAGCCATTTTCTAAACTTTTTGAGGCATAAGCAATTTGAAAATAACACTTACTACCCAGGAAAAAAATCGTGTTACATACTGTAATCGTCACTGGCGTTTGGCCGTGAGCGGGAATCGAACTTGGGTGGCGGGGTTCGTAGCGGAGCGCTAACTGCTGAAGCACCCCACTGCTTGATTCACTCACACATTCACTCACCAAACGCCAGGTACCAACAGCACACCGCTCTGCTTGATTCACTCACCCATTCACTCACCAAACGCCAGGTACCAACAGCACACCGCTCTGCTTGATTCACTCACCATACGCCAGGTCCCAACAGCACACCGTACTGCTTGATTCACTCACACATTCACTCACCATACGCCAGGTCCCAACAGCACACCGTACTGTTTGATTCACTCACATTCACTCACCAATCGCCAGGTACCAACAGCACACTGCACTGTTTGATTCACTCATTCACTCACCATACGCCAGGTCCCAACAGCACACCGCTCTGCTTGATTCACTCACACACTCACCATACGCCAGGTACCAACAGCACACCGCACTGTTTGATTCACTCACACACTCACCATACGCCAGGTACCAACAGCACACCGCACTGTTTGATTCACTCACACACTCACTCACCATACGCCAGGTCCAAACAGCACACCGCTCTGCTTGATTCACTCACACACTCCAGGTACCAACAGCACACCGCTCTGCTTGATTCACTCACCATATGCCAGGTCCCAACAGTACACCGCTTTGTTTGATTCACTCACTCACCATACGCCAGGTACCAACAGCACACCGCTCTGCTTGATTCATTCACTCACCATACGCCAGGTCCAAACAGCACACCGCTCTGTTTGATTCACTCACACACTCACCATACCCCAGGTATCAACAGCACACCGCTCTGCTTGATTCACTCACACTCACCATACGCCAGGTATCAACAGCACACCGCTCTGCTTGATTCACTCACACACTCACCATACGCCAGGTACCAACAGCACACCGCTCTGCTTGATTCACTCACCCACCCACTCACCATACGCCAGGTCCCAACAGCACACCGCTCTGCTTGATTCACTCACACACTCACCATACGCCAGGTACCAACAGCACACCGCTCTGCTTGATTCACTCACACATTCACCATACGCCAGGTCCCAACAGCACACCGCTCTGCTTGATTCACTCACCCACCCACTCACCATACGCCAGGTACCAATAGCACACCGCTCTGCTTGATTCACTCACACACTCACCATACGCCAGGTACCAACAGCACACCGCTCTGCTTGATTCACTCACCCACTCACTCACCATACGCCAGGTACCAACAGCACACCGCTCTGCTTGATTCACTCACCCACTCACCATACGCCAGGTACCAACAGCACACCAACTCGCGCACTCGCTTCACTGGCCACAACTGCAGGTCACCACCATCACTTCTAATTTCTCCACCACTTTTGAAATTCCCTTCCATTCATCTCTTCTCTCCCAAGTTTACAGAACGTGTTTTCTCCCTCAATTCAAGAAACGCGTTTAACTCTTAGCTCTTTCACCATTTGATAACTTATTGCGACGATGAGTTAAGGGGGTAAGAGTTTACAGGTCCCGCGCGCGTGCTATTGCTGTCGGCAGGGCCTCCACCAGAGGAAGCGCTAGGTACAATGCTTGTGGTCTTATTAACTTTTCCGAATTGGGCCAGACGTCTCTGAAGAGGTGGGGAATGCAGTTCCCACACTTTACCCCATCACAAGCGATCTGCCTGTCGACAAAACTGTAGTGCGCTCATCGATACCGGCTGGGAGGGGTTAAATAAACTTGATAAAGGGAGCATGCCCTTGCCGTTCCGGGAGATCGAATTAAACTAACGACCCCAGGATTGCATGTCAACCTAACCATTCCATCGCGACAGTATTGGATGAGTGGTCGATTATTTGCATCATCGGTTGAGGCAGTGAACGTGCATCCATCCGTCAATTAATCTCCTGATAGCACCCATGGTCCAGGGCAATTATTACTCCAACTGGGACAGCGACACGTTCCATGTCTAAACAAAGCACAATCATTGTCCGCCCCCCTGTCCTCTGGGCCCAAGCCGACTGCCTCTATGTCTTCATCCATAGGGGTGGTGTCATCATCTGTGACTGGTAGCCACAAGCCAGGGGTGTCCGTTATTTAAAAAAATATTGTTCGGGTAACTGGTAGACTGGAGTAGGTGGCAAGTAGTAATGTTGTTTGATCACTCTATCTTGTATGTGCTTGTCAAGGTGGGGACGTGGATTCGGTCTGGTGGCTCCGCTGTTCGGACAAAGCAGCCTCCTCAACCAGCCCAACAGTGTCTTCGGGGTCATCTTCTACTCCCTGCAAGTTCTGCTGGGTGTGTGCAACAACAAGCAACAACTAAACGGCTGTTCTCCATGGATTCATTTCACACCGAATATCTATTTTTATATATTTTTGTTCGTATTGCTCGTAGACTTAAGCATAGGTGGCATGTAAATTGTAGCCACTGGCATTGCAAGAGGTATACTGGATGTGGTGTGCTTGGGGCAGAGATATTTTACGGGGCTGTTGACCTGGTGGCCACTCAGCTAAAATTAAGCCGTGGTGAGGGCACAACTTTCAGATGGTGGCGTAGCTATCAAGGGTGCAGGCAGCGCAACTGCACCGAGGGCCCAGGTGATAAGCTGTGAATATGGAGGGGTGGAAGGGGTGGGAGGTATTGGATTGTGGGGGGGGGTGGCATTTCATTATCTGCAAAGAGGCCCATGCCAACCATGCCAACCATGCCAACCATGCTGTGTCATTGAAATTGAGAGTTCACATTGTAGATAATCTGAAATGGACTCTTAGCTGTTCCAACTTGTGTTTGCTCGCAACATTCCACACTGCCACGTTTGCACGTTGTAGCTCAGCCGTTCCACTCCCAAAAAAGCTGTGGTCTGCAGTCAAACTTTTCCTGCCACTCTAATTAAGTCATGGAATGATGGATAGATTGATAACATTGCGTGGTTGAATTTAGTATTTTGAAGGCATAATTTATCGCTGTTTTCCAGGGTTGCTGGCATGTGAATAGTAAGCCACCGATAGGGATACTGGTTGCTGACCCTTAAAAACTTGGCTGATATTAAGCTCAGTGTTTTTGTTATATGCCATATGTGATAGGTTTTTATCAATCCCGCAGCCACTGCAGGTGCTACATTCACCAGTTGTATAGAAACGATTCGCAATCGAATCGTGACCCAAAATTACAACATGTTATCACATCGCAAGAGGAGTGAATCATTCCCTGCCTAAAAAAAAGTAAACATTTTCCTCCAGACCCCTCTTGTTATCCTAAACGATCCAACACTTGGCAAACTTCACCGAAGTTCGTTTTTCCGCGTTGCAGGCATCTCGCATCAGAGCCGTGCGGGCGACCTCGTGCTGCTGGGGACCTCGCTGGTGTCGGTGGCCGGAAGCTTTTACCTCGCCTTCATCCTCTTCGGCGTGCTGCATGACTTCTGCATCATTTGCGTCTCCACGTACGCCATCAACTTCCTGCTGACGGCCGTCAACGTCGCGCGCATGTGGAACGGCTCGGCGCGAAAAGCCGCGCACAAGCGCGACTGATCGCTCCGCAAAACGATCCCGCCATCCAAAATGATTCCACGCGGGCTGCCACACCGTAAACGCAGAGGTCGTCTTGTGACGTCACCACGTGCGATGGATGGTTTTGCGTCTGCTGGAGGCGGGGGTGTGTTGCACTTGTACCAGCGTATGAAAGCAACTGGTGCTTTGGCTCGACCCCCCCCCCCCCCCCTGATGTGTTTACCATGTCGTACCGCGCGTTTGTGCGGCACGATGTCCAACGTTTCGCTCCGCATGCTTGGGATCTTCAACTTGTGGAGCGGAATGAACGTCGGACATCACGTCGCATAACCCGAACACAAATCGGGGAGAGCTGTGCAGCACAACCGTGAAAACGTTCGCGAAATGGAGCGATGTCAAATCTGATAAGAACTATTTGGCGATTGTTGTGTATGAATGGCAAAACTGTTAATTGTTATTTAATTGTTGTTGCTATTACTTTAAGTTTATGAGAGAATCGCGGAGGGCGTCATACTTGACCGTTGATAAAAAAAAAAATTAGTTGCAGGTCAAAACATTTTGGCAGTAATAAGATGTTGTGGAAGCAAACTGAGAGAATGCAGGACCGATTTTCAGTGAGGTTAATCCTCATGTAACATATCTGCCAAATTAATATTACTATCTGCTCCATCCATTCCTGGACCTATACAGCAAAAATCAGGTTTGTCTCGAAGCTTTTTTTTCTTTCCAGATGTGGGCGTGGTCAGCTCAAGTGTGTGTGCCGTTTTTACACAGGTCAGTCAAAATATCTTTGGGAAATATTATTGGTCATTGGGGTACCAACATCACCTTTACAGGGCAATTGTTACAGTTGCAGACAAAAAAAAACTGCCCGAGCCGTACGAGATATAAAATGGTGTATGTGAAATGACGCGAGGGCCTAAAGCAAAGATGATGTCATGAGAAATGTTTATTTTGTAGGTTAACAACGACCAAATGAACTTCCCATTTTGTTACACAATTGCACATTCTGTCTCTAAAATGTGATTGTTACGTATTAAGATTGTAACAAGTTTTTGAACAAACGTCAAAAGCTGTTGAGAATAATTCCTAAGAAATTCTGTCAATGTTTCATAAATTAAAAAAATACAATTCTTTAACATTGCAGCATAATTTTTTCAACCGAAACATTTATAACTTCCATTTATTCCTAAGCGCTTGAGGTTGAAAAAAAATCATTTACAAGACAATGGTTGCTCACAACTGTGAAAGCAATGTGCTCAGCAATTTTGGGAGTCCTGACACAAAAAAACTTGTGCCAAGTCACGCTGTGGACGGTGGGGTCAATGGATCACTTTTTTTTGGCTCAATTATTCGACTCTACAAACACCAGGCCCAACGTGACATGGATGTTGATGCTGATGTCACAAAGCCTCGCCCATCGCAGCGGCACGCGTGGAAAACAAGAGGCGAGACGTTTATTTCTCCCAACTGCTGTCGTGTTATCCGATTTTAGTCGAACAATCGTACCGATAATCGGTAGAGAAATCGATTGCTTAAATAATCGGATAGCCCAGCTCTGGTGTGAAGTTACTGCGAATAAAACATGCCTCTTAAGTGGCGCTGGTCATATCTTGTAGATGATTAGGATATGTTACAAAACAGCATATTTTTAAGATGTGATATTTACCGTCACAGTTATCTATATATATAAAAGGGAAATTTGTGAATGTGTGTGTCTTTTCGAAATGTTTAGCGTACTTCCCGACATGCAACAAACTTGAAATTTGCCATGTGGGTACTTTCCAGATTGTACACCATGCAAAATTTATAAAAATACACTTTATATATTTTTTGTGGGGGTGCAATGCATATATTTTGCACGGCAAGTGAGCTGTGACGTCACATCTGTCGTGTCACCCGCGCATGCAGAAGCATCACGCAGTGTGCCCGCTGACGTCACGCATCCCCCCCCACCCTCCACGTAGGCCGTGTATTAATCCAAGACAAGAATCCCAAGTCTTCAGCGAAGCTGGGTAGTAAAGCTAGTTAAATATAAATCAGAATCCTCGAAGCTGTTGTTCCAATAAAAATTAAGATGTCAATTCTCTTCTCAATAACTTCAAATCGTCAATGACAATTAGTTTTTAGTCCTTAAAAATCGCTGACAAAATATACCTTTGATAAGTGGAGAGTATTTTGACTAAGGCACTGGCAGTAGTTGGCGGCGAATTATTTGAATCAGTGGCTCTTAACAAAAATGACATCCATATAGTCCCATTCACCAACAATGAAAAAAGTGAATAAAAAACATCAGCTGCAAATACCTCTCCTACACCAACCAGACAGACTGCATGAATGGAGACTTTCAAATTATTTGTTCCACATTGAAGTCTGGGTGTTCGCAGAGTTGGGGTAGGGTTTGCCGGCGTCTTCAGCGGCCGCGCCTCATTACCCTTTGGGTGCGAGCAATAGCGTGAGAAGCGAGATTGCAAGATCGAGCACGTGTTCATTTCCACCTAGCCCCCAAGCCCCCCATCCTCCCCCCCCACCCGCTAGTGGTACGATGTGCTCAGAATGGGCGACATTCCGTACCCGGTCACGTGCGGCACCGTCACGTTCGCCAGCTTCCAGTATCGCTCGCGGAGGAGGAAAGCCGCCGACTTGGGCTGTCGCTGGCGCGTGAAGATTCCCTTCTTGTTGCCGACGACGCGCGTGATGCCTGCTCGCCGCGGTCACGTGGGAGGTGCGACGGTCAACTTGATGGCGTCATACAGAGACAGAGATCCCCCGTGTAGCTAAGTGCTGTAAGCGGGCACGGCTCATGAGGGGGTTACGTAAACCTGAACTATTTTGTTCACCAGGTAAAGCCCAGAGGTGTTAGCTCTTTTTCAGAGGCGATCTGGCAACACATAGCTTATCGAAGTGACTTATGACTTGGGGAATTTATAGTAGCCAAATAATCTGAACACACATTTCCAAATGTGGAGGGCAAAACCAGGAGGACCTGGAGAAAAATCCACCCACCCACAGGGATAAAAACGCAAACTCCAAATATACAGGCTTCACGGTCAGGATCGAACACGCGACCTCCTGCATACCAAGCGATAACATCTTGCTTTCGCAGTGCAGATGTTAACGAACCGTGCAAGGCTCTGAGTTGACCTATGGCAGGCTAATAACCGGTTCAGATATTTGCCACTGGTTTCGAAGCAGTGCCACCACTCTCCACCACTCCACCACCAGCCATAAGTGACAAATTATTCACAGGCATGCATAAGCAACAAAACGGGACAGAAGGAGTGTCAAGATTTGGAAAACTCGCAAACGCGACTGAGGTATACAAGAACACACCTTGCTGCGTTGCGAAGTCTGCAAAGTTCCAGATCATCTCGCCGATGAAGTATGCGTCACGTTTCTCGTCAAAAACTTTAAAGTAACTCTTCATGACGGCTACCTGGTACTCCTCTGTAAACATCAAAGGGGGGTCCTGGGAAAGTGAATGGGTCAGAGATCAATGCTTTGAGTGGATGTTTTTTTTTAATGAAGCTGTCCTGTGTGAGTTTCAAGTAGGCCATGTAAAAATCTATCCCTGGTACGAATCGAACTGTCGAAAACTTGATTCTAGAATAAAATATTTTTTTGGTCACGATAGTTATTGTATCTCGTTCTGTTTCGTATTGCGTCTCGTTTCCACCAGTGTCTCACTCTGACCTATTCGTACAATTTGCTCGTCTGTTGTCTTTTTCATTTAAGAATCGATTGCGTGGCTTTCACGATTTACGTAAGCCACCAAATCACAAGCACGTGAATGAACGAACGCTATTGTATGGCATTCGAGAAGCGTCGTGGCACGGTGTGGCAGAGCAGAGGGGAGCGGGAGGGGGCGCCGGCCTCACCGAGTGCAGGCCGGGGATGGTGTCGGCGCCGTACTCGGTCTGCAGCACGGGCTTGCCGTGCTTGGCGTGCCAGCCGTCCAGCGTGTAGCGCAGCTGCGGCACGATCACCTCCAGGTGGCCCGCGTCGTGGTACCACGAGTAGTATGCGTTGAGGCACACCACGTCCGTGTACTGCGCCTGCCGCCGTGAACGGTCGTGATGGGCAGCGCACGGCGCACGAGTTAGGGTGGCACTGGGCTGTGAAGCCGTCGGGACCCGAGTTTGATTCCCGGTCATGGCAAACATCTGTGGCGAGCGACGTCTGAACTGGCGATTCCCCCTCAAGGGCAGTATCGGTGATGAATATGTTAATCGGTCCCGGGCCTCTCATAAGTTGACTCATGCTTAATTGAGTACTTGGTGCAGTATATATATTGTCACTGGGGAGACAAAGGTGGCCAAGAATAATATTAGCTACACAAACCCCTTGTGTGCCGTGTTGGCCAAAGTAGGTACATTCCACTCCAGGACTGCCCTTCCTTTGAATGGGTGTGTTTCTCTGTGTGTATATATGTAATTATGTCTCTATCCCAGGTCACTCTGTTGCAAAGGAGACTAATACTTGTCTCTTGGGACCTTGCCTGGTTAAAAAATATAATAACTTGAACTCTTACCGCCTTGTCAGTTTGGAAGCTCTGGTTAATAACGTAGGTGACTGGGCGAGTTGGGTCCAGATGCCGCGTATGTTCGATAACAGTCCTGAAACACAATGCCCGCACCCTTACATTGTTCCATTTTCAACTACATCGTAGAACAGCACACAATTGTCATTACAATCAAAACAAGCATGCCATCAGCCGCTGCCAAGCATCCAAAAATAAATAAAATACCTAAATAATTGTTATATTACCCTGGAGAACCTGGATCTCGATCATTTTCACGAGGGTTCTGCCGAGTAAATTTTGAGCAAATTGATTACCATTTAACACACATGTTTTGCCATAAAAATTTCCAGAGAGATATGTTTGACTGTTAAATAAGCAAGTGGGTTCGTGCAGGACGCGTCACTAGAAGACGTGACGACCAGTCATGACCGGCGATGGAGTGGCAGCCAAAGGGGGAGAACACGTCCGACATGTCCACTGTGGAGTAGGAGCAATAAACTATTCACTATTTTTATGTTACCCGGTAAGGCCCAGTGAGCTATATGGCTATTTTTTTTTAAGCGACCTGGTCACAAATGATAGCGCAACGAAGTGACTTATCCTCATGCTGAAATTTATAGGAGCCAAATACTCTTAAGGCATGTGGATTCTAAATGTGGAGGGAAAAACCGGAAGACCCGGAAAAAAATCCACGCGACCACAGGGGGGAGAACATGCAAACCCCAAATATACAGGCGTCAGGATCGAACCCACGACTTCCTGTATACCAGGCGAGGTAGTTAACATCTTGCCACCGTGGCGCCTCGAGATCAGATCATGAATACGTGCTGGACGGATTGTTGCATCGCGTGGTTAATGAGGGATATGAAGGATGGCAATGGCTCGGGTGAGGCCTTCAGCCGTGGACTGATAACAGCCAAGGCTTAGGATTTTGTAACAGAGCTCACAAAAGGAAATTGTGAATCAATTCAGGTCTATACAATTTTGGAAATGTTGTAGAAACTCATTAAGATGAGGTGCTTTTATTATTTCAAAAGGGTACAGGGAACAGATGGATATTTTCCCATTGAAGCCTTGTTTTTCCCAGCACCTCATCCGTGAATTTAATTAAAACTTACCAAGCCAAAATCATTGCCTTAATTATGGCTAACGGTAACGACGATGACAATTCCGATGACGATGACGAGATATTTGCCCTAATTTAGATTTCTTGTCGGGATGTTTGGCAAATTCCTCACACGCCGAAACACAAATTGACGGAAAGGGAGAGCACACACTTGAAGTAGGGCTCTGCGACGGACAGCTGAGAGGCGGGCTCGTTGGCGACCGACCACATGACCACGGAGGGGCGGTTCTTGTCTCTCCTCACGAGCTCTCCCATCACCGCCAGGTGGTGCTCCAGCGACGCGTTCCCAAAGTTGGCGCTGTGTGTGCAAGGACGTGGGGCATACACGACACATCGCCAAACGTGCTAAACAGTGAGACGTGACAGCTAAAGCAAAATAATAATTGTAGTAGTCAACTTAACACGTAGGATTTTGCAGCCAATGTTAGGATTCACAAATAGATTTTGGGATTTTAGGCCGTTCTGACATGCTGGATTTTATTCTCACTTCCTGGATTTTCCTGCAGATGCTTGGTGCAGTTTGAAGTGAAACGTATTTAATTGCAAAATTTAGTTGTGAGAATCGGTCAACTTACTGGTGAGCTGAAACAATAACTGGCAATTTAAACGCTTGTACCAGTGACAATTTAATTTGTTGGCCATGTCTGGTGGTGAAGGGTCCTGCGACAGAAATTTGACCAAAACAGTATAAATAGGCACACCACACTTAGTCACGGTGGAGAGCTGTTAACTACCTCACCTGGTATGCAGGAACTTGTGGGTTCGATCCCGACCCTGACGCCTGTATATTTGGAGCTTGCATGTCTCTCCCCGTGGTCGAGCGGATTTTTCTCTGGGTGCTCCGGTCTTTCCCTCCGCATTTACAAACATGTGTTCAGAGTATTTGGCTGCTATAAAATTCCACGTGATAAGCCACTTCGTTGAGCTATCATTTGTGGCCAGGTCACTTCTGAAAAGAGCTATATAGCTCAGTAGGTCTTACCTAGTAAAATAAAAAAAATGTTTTTAGTTTAGTAATTGATCGGCAGGTTGCGTGTGGTGGGGTAACACATGGGAATACTAACCTTTGGCCAAGACATCTGGCTAGCGTGGAAGAGTAGGCCAAATACCCTCAATAGCTTCAGCCGTGGCACGAGCAGATGATATCATGGTTGCACCTCCGCCTTAAATACTCATTGAGCCATGTATTGATTAACGGACTACAATGATTTAATATACTGAGTGACTGATGCGCAGACTCACGGTTGGGTGATGCCCACGCCCGGACACTCATCGATGATGACGATGCCGAGGCGGTCGCATGCGTCCATCAGCTCCTCGGCATACGGGTAGTGGCTCGTGCGGAATGAGTTGGCACCCAGCCACCGGATCAGGTTCAGGTCCTTGGCCAGGATCGCCCAGTCGAAGCCTCGGCCGCGAATCTGCCGACAAAAAAAATATAATTAAGAAACTTGCCACTCACTTTTCTTAACAGTTTGAATTATATACTTTTCCCCTGGGTATTACAAGCATGTATCCCTTTTTGCACATTATTGGAAATTACCATTATTCTGAACTTTTTCAAAGTAAGTACACTTTTGAAAAATATTATTGTTTAGATATGATGGTATATTACTTTTAATATTAAAAAATTTCAAGGAAGGTTGAACACGTTTGTGCAGTATCTCTGTCAACGACAGGGGGGAGGGAGGAGGAGGGCTGCTCACGTCGCTGTCCTCGTGCTTGCCAAATCCACGGAAGTAGAAGGGCTCTCCGTTGATGAGAAACTGCGTGGCGGTGACGCGCACTGTGCGGATGCCCACGGGGAGGTTGTACCAGTCCTCGCGCTGCTCCCCTCTCACCAGCGACTTGGCGTGGACCTGCATCGCACGCCCTCCGCAAAGTCAGCTGTGCGACCGTCCGTATTTTAGCGCCTATGCCCTCCCCCTTTGTGCGCCTGCGTAGAATGAAAATGTAATCAAGAGAATGAAGGGGTCAAACTTTGCCACGCAGGACAATATTGGAAACTAGCCTTGAGAATCGGTGACAAACAAATGGGGCAGGAAGAAAGCAGCAATGCCAGCGGTTCCCAAATTATGATATTTGTGCTACCGGAAAGCGAGCAGTCTGTTTGCATTAGTGTGCACATCTGTATATGCATCGGTGTACGTACATATGCAATGTTTCTCATTGGTAACATACAACGTATAACGACGCAATGTCCAATCCACAAATAGGAAAGGAAACATCACAGCGATACTCCCCGCTACTCCTGACACGGTTGTCTGGTTTGACCATCTGGATGTGAAATTGTAGTTGTTGCTCTGCATCTACATCAGCCATACGAAAGAAGAAGAATATTTATGCTACATATTGTAACTGAAATTGTAACCTCTGCCTCGTTGAATACTGACATCATTGACGTCGTTGAGTGCAGATTTTTTTCACGCGTCCCACAACAACACATGTGCCATACGCCATGCACACTCTCTCTTCTCTCTCACCTGCAGCGTATACAGGTAGCCCGCCTCGGGGCGCATCGTGAGCGGCCACCACAGCTTGGGCCGTGCCACCTTGAGAGTGCCGACGCCGTCGCTGCAGTTCGCCTCCCCCTTCGCCACCTCGTGGCCCTCGCGGTCGCTCAGCGACACCATGAGCTGGCACTCGTCCGCGCCCACCACCGACACGTTGTAGTTCACCACGCCTTGGTCGAAACCAAGAGCAGCGCAAGGTGGCATCAATGCCGCAGCCCCGCAATTACATCCTCAGGTCGTCCCTGCTGGCGAAAAGGGCCACCACTCTAGGACGCTCTAAAGCGCCCGGTCAGGAGGGTGTGTTTTGGCCTACTCTTCCACGCTGGCCAGACGTCTTGGAAGAAGTGGGGAGTACCTACACTTTACCCCACCACACGCGACCTGCCGAATGACTGTGGTGTACCCATTAATACTGTTGGAAGGCCAGGAGAACTTTAAAAAATATCACATTATTTCAACTGCTGCACTGGGCGATTGAACCGGAGCTCTCTGAATAACAAAGTGCACACAATAGTTAAATATTGCAATTTTCATGGAATAAGTGTCGCTTAAGATAAAATCACCTGGACCAATCTCGTCGGATCTCAGGAGCCAATCAGAGTTTAGCCTGGAGAGCGCTCGGATAGGTAACTACCCTTTACAAATAGGTCATCGCGGGGCTTGCCGGGTTATGTGGCAAGATGTTAACTACCTCGCTCGGTATACAGGAGGTTGTGGGTTCGATCCCGACCCTCACGCCTCTATATTTTGAGTTTGCATGTTTCTCTCCCCGTGGTCGCGTGGATTTTTTTACGGGTCTTCCAGTTTTTCCCGCTACATTTCTAAACGTGCGTTTAGAGTATTTGGCCGACACTTAAAATTTCCACGTGATAAGCCACTTCGTTGAGCGCTTCTGAAAAAGAGCTACATAGCTCAGTGGGCCTTACCTGGTAAAAATAAAAAAATAATTTAGATTATAGAGTATGTAGTGGCCAGCCAAGGGCAATGCACAAACTCCAGCATATGCTGAGCCCACACCCAGGTCGTCGTGGAAGTCGGTGAGTACGGTGACGTCGTCAATGAAGGCGTCTGGCGTGGAGTAGAGCAGCACTGGGCGGTGGATGCCAGCATAGTTGAAGAAGTCAAACTGGATGTTTTGAACAAAGTATCCTCGCGGGTACCTGTGTGCAATAGCAACGATCGAAATTACGTCGTAAAAAAAAATCGAGTGGGGGGTGGGGGGCCAGAGATGCCAAACCCTGAAAGGATGACATGTATGGTCCTTTTCTCAATCCACTGTTGGATGAAGGCCTCCCCACACCAAAATGATAACTCTAAACCCAAAACCCCAACCTATAACGCCTAATCCCTATCCCAAACCCTAACTCAAACACTACACAAAAACTGAAGAATCCACGTTTCTTCATATTTTAGCAACTGAAAGATAAGTGGGAATTGAAAATAAACCGCTGTTTAGTAAACGCAAATCAAAGATTAGACACAATCCTGATGGATGTTTACAGAAAATTGTGCGGGGATGGCAGCATCAGAGATGCGGTTTCTTTTCCTATGTCTGCAGTGAACAGTAGTCACCCAGACGCTGCGTCACAAAGTGGGTAAGGCAGACAAGGGCCCCCCCCCCCCGCAATTTCATTCCTTGCATTAGGACCTATGGCACCACACTACACCAATGGAAACCTGGTGAGTGGCAAGCCAATTTGAGTGAGTTGATTAGACCTTGCAGATGATGCCACAGAGAAAACATGCTCAAACGTGGACTCCAACGGGTGGTGGCACCTGAGCGTGTCCCGCATGTACTCGATGCTGCCGGGTGGCAGCGTGCTGGGCGTCAGGGTGTTGTTGACGGCCACGGTGATGCGGCATGGAGTGGAGGCCGGAGTGCGCACGATGGCCGTTATGTCGGCCTCGAACGGGAGGTGGCCGCCTTCGTGCCGCGTCACTTCCTTTCCATTTACCCACTTTAAGGAAAAAATAAAGGAATATACAAAATCATTGTTCAGCTGTCAAAGACTGCGAGGGACAAGTGACGTTTAGCGAGTGCCTATTAATGTTGGGACGGTGGGCGTACAAAGGAACGATGTGGCTCATTTAACTCAGGAGTTAATCTAGGAAGCCCCAGAACAGGTTTACAAATGACTTGTCACTGATGTTAGCCGTGGCCAGAAACCAAACCCAGACTGCACAACTCTTAAGAAAAAAAAACGCACACATTAACATAAAGCAAATATGCATATTAATTAATTCAAGCCATTGCTTCTAAGAGCATACTTATAATAGTATCCCATTATTGACATACAGCGATCCAACAATCCAGAGGGAATGAAAGGGGCCCATCCCTCGGGTGGCTCTGTGGTGTCATCTCCCCAGGACTGTTATCAACACAACTTAATCAAATACGCAATGGACAAAATGTTCGTCCATCCAATTCTCCAGAAAGTGGCACCAAGTATAAGCAAACTAAGCAAAAGCTTAGGGGTCCAAACAGCCCATGGGCCCCGAGATTAAACTCAAAATGAAATCCGAACATAACATGCTAATTAACAAAAAAGCAATTAGTTGCTCATCTTCTGCATCTCTCTTATCTCAGTAGCATCTCTATAGACATCTATCTGTTGTGTATATCTTCCCCCGCTCCTCCCTTTAGCACGGTTGCCTACGCACGGTGAAAAAGAAGTTCAACATGCATCTCACTAGGATATTATTAATTTAAAGGGGGAGGGGGGGAGGGAAGGAGGGAGCCCCCCCCCCCCCAAAAAACAAACTGCCTTAGGGACCCCAATTTGCTCGCACCACCACTGCCGCCAAGGGGCACCCACCACGATGGCGTTGTAGTGCACGCTGCCGAATCGGAGCACCACCCTGCGGTTGGCGTTCTCGGCCACCCACGACGAGGGCACCCACGCGTGCCGCTCGTACCACGCCCAGCCCACGAAGTCGCGCAGCGCCGCCTCCTGCGTCACGTCGTTGTAGCTCGAAGGCACGGGCATCTCCAGCACCGGGCCCGTCTTGTCGAGGGCGACAAGTGAACGCGAGGGAGAGGAAGGAAACAAAGGGGGAGGGGGGGGGGGCAATGAACTCACGTCAGTTTAACATGTAGGCTTTCGTGACCGATATCATTCATAATACATTTTTTTGCGTTAGACTGCGCAAATATAAATGTGTCGTTATACCCGCCACCACCCAACACAGCCAATTAGTAAGGTTTGTCACGTAAACAGAACATGCCAATTGGTTACTAGTATAGCACACCGGTGTGTTGGAGAGAAAATCCACAACATTTACAATCTAGGTACGACGTTTTGCGAGTAATTACAACTAGCTTCATCAGGCGGACAGCCGGATTTGTGGATAAATCCTGCTGTTTCCTCATCCCTCACAGTCACACAGTCACTTCAAGATTTTGATTTAAAGCTTTCGTGACTGCAGTAATTCATATTCTTAGCTCTTTCGGTAAAGTCACGTTGAAGGGAAACAATAAAATAATAAAATATATATAAACACAGAAATTCAATATACATACATCTCACTACGATATTATGAATTTAAAGGGGAAGGGGGGGGGGGGGGCCCCCCCCCAAAAAACAAACTGCCTTAGGGACCCCAATTTGCTCGCACTACCACTGCAGCCAAGGGGCACTCACCACGATGGCGTTGTAGTGCACGCTGCCGAATCGCAGCACCACCCTGCGGTTAAGAATATCACTTCAAGATGTTTTCTTGTTTGTGTTTTTTGTTTTTGTTTGTTGTGGTTGCTCCCGATTCAAGAGCCGAATGGCTCACAGGGCTATACCAAAATAAAAAAAAACTGAAACCATCTTCAGCAGCCCGCATTGATCAATGGGTAAAACTCAGGCCACTGGGTCCACAGCACTGCGGGCTCTTGTGTGCGCTCTTCCACACACGCGTAACGCTCTTTCTTCCTTTCAATATTGGCAAGCCTCTGGGGCTACGTACGTTTAAATCTAGATCGAAAAACCGATTTATTTAAAACTGCTTCGTGTGTTTAGTTTCTTGTTCTTCCGCCGCGCCTCCGATTAGCACGGTTGGCTACGTAGGGTGCGAAAGAAGTTCAACGTATTGTACGTACCTACAAGCGAGACCATCATCCAGCAGTAAAACAATTGACAAAAGCGAATGTTGCAATTTAACAAGACACAAAACTAAAATCGACTCCTCACCTCCACCAGCCCTTTCTCGGCCCACCCCCGCGTGAATCCTTCATCTCGACCCGGCGAATCGTCCGCCCGGAAAGCCCAGAAGCCTCCCAGCTCCTTCAGCTCGCGCGACCGAGACTCGCGAGGGTACAGAACCCCGCTCCCCAGCCCGGTCTCTGCCCCGGCCTGGACCCCTGCCGTCATCCACGCAGCCAGCCCGGCCAGTCGGACCAGGAAAAGCGTAAGGCTTGGGGCCCGCGGTCGGGACATTTCTTCACTAAAACGGGGTTTTGTTTATTCCTCCTCCTCTGTGGTTGAGCGCTGAGCTCAACTGCCGAGTGGTTGTTATTGAAATCCTAACAGGATATCGCGCGTGCAGTCGAGCAAACGTAAGTTTGTTGCGCTGTTACGAGGTGAAAAAAAACCGAGAGGGAAAATCGAATTTGAAAAGCCGGGTCGCTGTGGAGAGCAGGCGTGGCGACGTCACGTCCGGTCGCGCGCCCTCGCCGCGTCACGTGTTAAAAACAACACGTGACGCGGCGGCGTCGGCCACGTGCAGCAATCAGAATGAGGAAAACCGTGCCGGGACTCCCCTACTTACGAACGAGTTAGGTTCCAGGGGTCTGTTCGTAAGTCGATTTGTTCGTAAGTCCCAACAAACTCCTGTCGATTTAATAGGGTTTTCCCCCATTTTTTTCTGTAAATAAAACTGAAACCTTTTTACGAATAATTATGTTTGCATTAACCACAATACTTGTGGTAAAAATGCAAAAAAAACCACACTGATAATATATGATGCATTGTCCTTGAAACTGATTGGTCCACGCCAGAGACGGCTTTCTTTTGAGCCTAGTCTCAAACGGTGTTAGACCTTTTGGCGTCCTCTGGTCTAACAAAGATACATTGTTGTACTGCCCGTTTATGCTCTCCCGTCCATGCTGCCTGCCTTCAAGTCGCACTGACCAGAGTGGTGAAGTATGGTCAAATCATTCCCACAACTCGTATCCTTGCAGTGGATAGACGCATGGGCTGTCTGTCAGCTAGAATTCAGATAGTAATCAACATTAAATCGACGTAAACAAGCGAATTAAATCTCTCAACGCTATCTTGTCCGCAGCTCTCATCTCACGATATCTCTGTCTCATCCGTATCGCTCGTCCCGTTTACGCCTCCCGCCTTTTGTCCATGCTTCTCTCATCGCGCCGCGTCTATAATTTCTCATCCTAATTTCCTCTGCCCATCTCACTAAAACTTTACACATCGAAAGGGGTAGGGACGGAAGGGTGGGTGGCCAACATCATGACTGCTGTAGCACCACCACCACCACCGCGGCCAGCAGACGGTGCGCCGTGCATCATTGATGGTGGTGATGATGATGATGAAGGGGACACTGCGGTGAGCGGCACTGGACGGTGGGGAGAGATTGAGGACACACAAAGCAATGCCGAGCGATTCTCGCGTCCCGCGGGCAAGTGGAGACAACGGCAGTGACATTTAACGCCACTCCGTTAAATGTTAATGAGGTTGTTTTTTTGCTCTGCCCCCCCCCATCCCACCCTCCATTCATGCCCTGATTCAATCGCTTATCGAAAAGTAAAGCGGGCTGCTCGGGAAGGACGCTTCGCAAGCACGGGATGATAATTAATTGATTATGGTCGGGAATAATAAAACGGGAGTAAATTGTAAATGTTGTGGATTTACTCTCCAAACACACCGGTGGGCTGAAGTAGTCACTAATTAGCGCGTTTTGTTTACGTGACAAATCCCTTACTGATTGGCCGTGTCGGGTGGTGGAGGGTTATGACACATTTCTATTTACGCGATCTAACCCAAAAACCTTTATTATGAATAATATCGGTCGCGAAAGACTACGACGTGTTAAACTTAAACGGGAGTGGCAGCAGAGCAATGGAGCCAGGAGTGGCGTAACTAGCGTGGAGGCAGGGAGTGCCTTGCCCTCCCCTCCAACTGGTGGCCGAGGCTACGAGTTAGGACCCCCTTGGTAAAACCACCATGAGATCTGTTTTACTTTTTAACAACTGTGTAAAAGAACAAAAACTTATTTAAAACGCGGTTTACGTTTATTTTTTGGTATGAAAATGCTTTCACATAGAACTCCATTACTGGGGTATTTATGTCGTGAGATTCGCGTCGATAAGAATTATGTTGCAGAGATGTAGCTACGGGGCTGTAGCGGTTGAATTTTGCGAAGACGGAGGGCCCCTCCAGCTTTACATGTTCGAGACCGTGAGCCGAATGATGTGATTTTGGCAAGAGGAGCCGCGATATATAATAACCCTAGGTGCGACCGTGCGAGACAAATAGAATATTTGGGGCCCCACCTGACCGATTGCCCCACTCCACTACGCCACTCGATGGAACGCGTCTGCGAGTATGTCCACTTGCGGAATGCAGCGATGCAATCAGCTCGTGCGCAGCTGACTGGATGGATTCATACGTCGCAGGATCTCGTGAGAGATGGCATGGTTTGGGGAGGCCCTCGTCCAGCAGTGCATTAACCATGGCCGATACTGATGATGACCCAAATTCGTCCATATGTAAGCCAAAACGAATCAACATTAGTTTGAGATGGGAGGGAGGACACCTAAACAAATAGGAAAAATATCACCCACTCTCACACTTCCACAAATGATGCTTGTGGGCAGCAACACAAGCACGCTGACTCAGACATTTATTGTCCTGCCGCCGCCCAGCACGCTTAACACCCCTATTCGTCTCTTTCACAGGCAAAGGAAAGATAAACAATTGATGTGGGTCGGCTGACCTAGAGGCCACAACACTAAACCGGCTGTCCCTAATCCTGGGTTCGAATCCTGGTTCCGATATATATTGTTCTCTCTTTATGTGTTTCTGTCTCACCGGCTGACTTGCTTCATGTAGCTCCATGTCTGCCTCTCTCTGTCTTTCTCCTCGTCTTTGTGTCTTGGTCACGTGTCTGTGTCTTCGTCTTGGGTCTCTTCCCCCCTGTCTACCTTTCCTATACTTTGCACTCCGATCGTGTTTTTTGTTATTGTTTGGTGTTGCAACGCTCTGACCCGAATACTGGACGTCTGTAAAAAAAAGCTTTATAGCTCATCGGATACCTCCAGTATAAATAAATCTTCTATGACTGCGTCGCCGTGGTGATCGCCATGCCGTTGTCAACACAGCTCCGCTCGCTTCACCTTGAGCACCGCTCTGCACGTGCGCTTGCATTGGTAAATTCACATCCACCTGCTGTCCCAACCCCGTAAACATTCGAACTTACACGATGACAGCAACCTTTGCCCACACGCAAATGCCTCTCGTGTCATGCCATATAGCAATCGTGTCTCGCTCACGATAAAACGAAAATATGTATTCCTGTTCGTGGGGTTTGTATTTGTGACTTGGTGCTCGCTAAAAGTGCGAGTCCTTTTAAAGTACTCTGTGCAGCACTCTACGGATTGTAAGACGCACGCATCTTTTCACCGTGTGGTTGAAAGTGAAAGTTGAGGGTACGTGTTATAATCTGGTAGGTGTGTGTGCGTGCGTGCGTCACCAGATTAGTATAACTTTTTTTTGACACTGGGCACAAGTTTGGGGGGTGCGTCTAACTTTCCTGAGCGTCTTATATGACACTCGGAATATGCTATGTGCTCGCATGCCATTGCTAAAACGTACCTTGAATTGTATTTTTTCCCATTCATTTACCGGGTGTTGTGGCTCTGAATCATTTACACCTCGGTCATTAACGCAGCGTTGTAAGAAATATAAATATATACATACAATATGCTAAGGTCACGCGCAACCATTTTCATTAAATTAGGCTTCCGAAGCGTACACAACACACACATGCATAATGCATGCCTGCATCTGCAATTACCCGGATAACTTATTCATTAACCCGTGCCGTGCCGGCGGTGATACCAAATGGCACTGAGGTTCTGCACGGTGGGCTGAGTTGGAGGGGGTCTCACCTTGCACGGTGCCTTAGCATCGCCAGCGTGCCGACCCAAAGCCACGACCTTATTGACCAACTGATGGTCAGTGTAGGCTAATTAATTATGGGGTGGGAAGCCCAGGACCAGTTCAGCTTTCGCACTGGCCAATTTATGATGACCGTGGCTGCGAGTCGAACTCAAGTCGCGGGGTTCATTGCGCACGTGAGCTAACCACTGCGCCACCGCACACCCCACAAGTTAAGCAAAATAATTGAACAATTACCCAGGTTACGCTGTCGGGACGATGTCTGGACCGCTGTTGCCGCGACCCTCGCCAGGACAAGCGGACTGAGAAACGAAGGAAGGATTAAACAGTCATTATCGTTCTCGGCCATGTTTTGCCAACTGCGCTATTGAAGATCATCGTCATCATCATCATCATCTCTTGTGGTGCTGGGATCTCACAAGCCATCTCACTCCTGCACGCGAACTGAACATGATGGGGACCCGAGATGGGGGGTTCAGATATCACTCACTAATGATGTTAACCATGGCCGGGAATCGAACTCAGGTCACCAGATACACAGCACTACCGTGCCACCGCTACACCCTCCGTTTTAATTTAATGTGGGGAAATCCGCCTCTGAGGGCTAAACATCGCTTTGGATGAATTTCCACGTGAAAAACACATCGACGACAAGGCACTCGCCGGCGGGAGATGAATAATTTTGCTCTGATGATGACGACGACGATGATGATGACACCCGAATACGCAGTTAACAAATGATGACGACGATGATGAACACTGGATGAAAATCGAATGACCAATGGATATATATGATGATGCCAGTGAATAATGAGGAGCAAATGGATGATCCTGATCAGTGAATGAAAACCCAAATGAGCGATGGATAATGTCGACTATGACAATCGTGATTTCTTAAATTAGATGAACCCCAGAATTCAAAATGGCAGATGACGACGATAACGACAATAGCAACGACTGATAATGGATCTTCGACCTCGGCTGGAATTTGACCTCGTCAAACGCCCACGCGCGAGTGGTACCACGTCGCGTTCCTCTCTCATCCGGAGCTGGAGGCATCTGCAACGCGCTTGCAATAACGGAATAATGGTGCGGCCTTGGTACGTCTCGAGCGTTGACACTGTGGGTGAACGTGGGGCTCCGCTAAGAGAGAGAGAGCGAGCTCTTGCCAGAGTTCTCTTTGTCATCTCTGGTCGCACGTATTGGAGGGGGGGGGGGGGTCACGTATACAGCGCGCTGCAGTTGGTGGAGGAGGGGAGGGAGTGGCTCACATTGGCACCGCTTGAAACGGTGATCTTTGGACGATGAGAAAAAAAAGCCCATCGTGACCCCACCTCTGTGTGGACCCACGCGCGCATGGCATGGTTCGGGGGGCTGTGGGGAGCGGTGCGGCAGTGCTTTAGCGCGCACTGCGCTAAGAACCCGACGAACTGTTTGATTCCCGCTCGCGACCAACAACAGTGGCGAATATTTTAACCGATGCTGGGCCTCCCTTAGGTCGACTCATTTTAAGCGAGTGCCTGGCGTGGTGTGTGTGAATATCGGCACTGG